GGATATACTTGCCATATCATAAAGTATATAAAATATTATATCGCCATCACCCGCTTCTCTGAGTGTATGAAATTTCGGCGTGCTTCATTAGGTGTAATTTATTTCATTAAAACCCAACATACTTAAACTATGCCAAGGACGGGAGTTTTAAAATTTTTCCAAACCTCTCTATTGTGATACTTTTTCAAATAACTTATCCCCTGAATTCAATTTGAAATGTAAAAGCGGTGACAACCCCTTACATGTAATTAAAAATGAAACCCTTTCGAAACCATTTCGATTGATACCCCTATTGCAATACTTCATTGATTATTTTTAATTTAATCTTTTAAACAGTAGGCAACCTTTTGAAACCGCTTTCGTCTGACACTCACATTGTGATACATACATATGTATTCATATTACCTAATTCCTATTACTCAAGTTGAATTTAAATTTTCAAATATAGTATGTGGAAGCCCTGCTATACATATGTAGTTTAGAAATAAAGCCAAAACTCTTTCGATCAATACCTACATATATGTATTGTAATAACTCGTTTAACTTTTAATATAGTTGTATTTGAAATTAGGTTTAAAACAGGTGGTAACCCTCTTAAAATACCTCAGAAATTCTACACGTTCAAGCTGAACATTTCTAAACACTCTTATGTTTGATACTTTAATTTGAGTATAATTAATTTATTTTGGCTATTAAAACAGGTGGCAACACTCCCCAAAATATTTTCAAACGAAAACCCTTTTAAAACCCCTTTGGCCTGACATCCATATTATGATACATATTTCAATTACCTAATTCCCTTAATTCAAGTAGAATTTGATTTTTCAAAAAGTTGGCAACCCTCATTCATGTAGTTTAGAACTAAAACCCTTTTCATTATATTTTAAATCGGGTGGCAACCCTTGTAAAACACCCTCATAATATTCTAAATGTTCAGTGTGAAGGTTTCTTAAAAATTTTTTGTTTGACACCCATATTGCACTATTCAGATAGCTTGTGAATAATTAACTTAAATTTGACCTGTAAAATAGGTGGCAACCCGTTTAAAAGTATTTTCAAACAACATACAACTTGTTTAATCCTTTATATATCTCCATAGAAATTTTCTGTACTTTATCAGAAATATTTCCTGCGATATGCAGCATCGAAAATTCGGTTTGTGCAAACGGTGCCACGCCCCCTGTCTAATCGAGATTGAATCCACCTATATTTGAAGCTGGGTTAAATGACACTAGTATACAAAATTTCATGATGATCGGCTTAGTAGTTAAAGCGTGAAAGCGTAACAAACAAACTCTCTCGGATTTATAATATTAGTAAGGATAGTAAGGATGGAATTTCAATATCAATACAAAGGGCAGCATTTTTTTTCTCAGCAAACAGTTACTTAAGGATCTCAGCCAAAGTTAAATCATCGTTGGGTTGTTGCTCACGCGAACTGCACCCGTGGGTAGAGCGATTAAACTCGAAACCAACCTGGAGAAAATGGATGCTGCAAGGCGTTGCTCCAGGGACGAAAAACAATACCTGGTCGGGAATAATCCAAGTCATTTCGGTACTTACACAGAACTGACTGTCGTGGGAGCGAGTTTCATTAATTTCAAATGCTATCAAGGCTATACTTCTCCCTACGGAAATCTACGAAGTATGTAGGTCAAGTTTCATTTAAGTATCCACGTCGATGGCACACCAATTTCGACATCAAATACAATTCTATATATTACTTTTGACATCTTGATCTCCTTCTACGCGCAAACAAATGAAACTGTTAACAAAGTACAAAGCGGCAACAAGCCTATCAAGTCACTCGTCGACAGCACTTGGCTTAAAGCCAAAAATCCGTGGTTGGAAACATACAAGGCAAATAGCTTCAGACTTGCCAAAACTCCACACTCCGGACTGCGATAGGAAGCGTTCTGATGCCGCCTGACCACTACAAATATGCATAGTTAGGCACAAACACACGATTGCTTGAGGCAAAGTCTCCTCAGTATGATTTATGCTTTATTATTTGCAATCATTTTTTTCGCACTTACGTCTCTTGCGTCTTTTTTCCTCTTGGATACATATATGTATGATGGGTACTTTCCTGCAGCAGTGGCGTGCCACTTTTCGTCATACCCCTTGTTTCATCGTGGAGGGTGGTAGCCTCTTAAATAATTCACATCCATGTTACCGGATAGCTTTGGACCACGTGAATCGGTTTCGATACCTCAAGGGTGCACTCATACTAATTTTTATATGAGCTTTGAAGGCGGTTATGGTTTTTGCTTAACAATTGCAGTTTTGATAAAAAGCTCTTTGGTAAAACGTAATAATTAGATATTCCTATGTTTTTTCTACTAGCAGAAATTCTTTTTCCAAATTCATAAAACAGATGGTTGAAGGTCGTGCCCTATTCGAATCTTCTACTATATGTATGTGCGGTGACTATCTTTGTGACAGCCGATACAAGACGAAAAATAATTTTGCCAATTTTTTCCACAAAAGCTGGAGGAAATAGCATCTTTATTTAGCTTATATGTTTCGATCTTTTGTGAAAGCAGCACATAAATATTCAGTTGTAACATCACATATTTGTAGAATATTTTTCCATAATACAATTTCCATTTTCAGTTATAAAAGACAAATGGTTTTTGCTTTGTATTTAATTTTTTCGATAAAGAAAAAAATTTAAAAATAAATTAACTTTACGAAAATAATGTTTGACAAAAATTATTTAAAAAATAAAGCTTAAAATTAAAGAATTAAGAGAAACCACATTAATTGCAGAAATATTGGCACAGAGAACTTTTCAAAATGTCGATATGCAAAATTTTGTATTATAATTTTTTCCCGCTATTTTTTTATAAAAATTTAGTTCACACTATAACAAAAAAACAAACTCTGTTCAGAACTCAAGAAAATTCTATAAATTTTCATGCAAAATTTTTATTTTCTTTTTTAAAAGGTTTTTTAGAACTTTTTTGAATATGCACTTTTGTAGTTCCCTGCGGCTTTATTGCATGCCGGACAAAAAGCCGAATCATCTTTGGAAGGCCATGCAAATATGAAGTACACAGTTCAAAATAGAAAAAATACAGATATTTTATAAAAATACGCACTTACCTACGTCTCTGACATGCCTTCTTCGTTTGAGGTTTCTTGAGGTGAATTAATCAGTTTCGCCCTTCAAGTTAACTTATTTTCTTACTTCTCCACCATTCCATTAAAAACTCATCCGTCTTTATGTGCTCTTATTGCAGAGTGAACAAGAATTATACGAATAAGCACTGTTACGGGCAGTTTTTCAGTGCACGGCCGTGGTTTAAACTAAGTTTAAACGCCCGATATAGTTGGTTTAAACTAAGATCAGCCAACCAAATGTCAGTTTCAATTTTAACTCAGTTTACTCAATCTAAGTTTAAACTGGCACTGAAAAACTGGCCATTAGTGTGTTTAATTGTATTGAAGATCGTTAAACAGCCGGTTTCACCAGCAATTTAAATGGAAAATGTATTTTTATTATATATGTAAATTTCCATATAAAATACAAAACATTCAAATCATTTTTCACTTAAATAAATAGCTTTCGTGAAATTGGCTGTCAATTATTGTTATTTCAATTGACGAATAAAAATAAAATTTAGAAAAATTAAAAATGTATATACATATGTAAATAATTTTTTTATCGAGCTGTCGCTTTTACGGAAAAAGTACCAAAATCAAAATCAACGTCCCTACGCAGTTTGAGCCAGCAAACGGTAAGAAGTGGCCAATATTCGAAATCTTATCGGAATGACTTAAACTTGCTACATGAGGTTTTTGTGGTCGCTGATTACAAATCTGAAGTTAAATGAATGTCGACTTAATTTTTTATGTATTATTTTTTTCTGTTTTTTATTTTTTGTTTTCGTTTTTATATTTATTGTTTTTCTACCAATTGCGAATGTAAACCTCACTATTTTATTTTTGAATTTTTTGCATTATTTTTTTTTTTTTTT